GTTCAATGCGATGTGAGTAATATTTGATGATTGTTGCAGGAATCCTACAAGAAAAGAGATTAATTGAGATAGAAGGAGGAACTTTACAGAGGAGGTACATCCTCAACTAGATGCTGAGGGCAGAATGTGAATCCAGTAAGAATGAAGGGAGCGGCATTTTAGGTGGAAGTAGGCATGGTATGTGCAAAGGTGGGAAGTGGGAAAATTTTCACCTTCTGGGTTTCTGTTATGCAGCATGGAGTACCAGAGAGAGCACAGCCTGCTCCAAACTTACTAGTAGTGCTTCCCCAGCCCAGTCACCCAATTTCGATAAACCTGTTTCCCTATCTATGCAATGGTTGTGATAATAGGCATTTCATAGAGTTATTGAGACCAGAGACAATGTGCATAATGTTATCTACCTCCTCAAAAATCACCACTCTAAATTAAACTTCAATCGAAATCAGCTTCCCTCTCTTACAGTTTTCTGTTTTCCTTTCTACTTGCACTTGAATCAATTATATATTTGTGTGTTTATTTCTTTAATGTCTGTTTCCTGACTGTAAGTTCCATGAGGACAAGGAAAATGTCTGTTCATCTCAACACTATCTCTTTAATGCCTAGACCAGTACTCAATAAATCTTTGTTGAATGAATGAATACATAAATGTAGGAATGAATAAATGAATAATAAGATCAATTTCTATGCTATGATTCTAAGAATCTTAGGGAAAATGTCTCTTTTCTCTGGTAATGGGCAGGTTGCTAATGCAGGAAAAGCTTTCATAGAATGAAGTTAGAGCATTACAGGGCCTCCACAGGTTACCAGAGAAGCACCATGACTCGTCTGTCTACTATATGGAACCATCTCTGAGCAGGAAGGAAATTACACCAACTTCCAGCTCAGCTGGTTCCAGAGTTTCACAACCCAGCTCTGTCTTGCTTACTTCTGACGTGCTACTTCACTGGTATGACCTGCAGTGTGATAATGACACTTCACTATAATGACACTGCATAATCCCCATGCTGCCCCACAATGACCCTGAGTGATGTCTAGACTTTCCAGTAATCAAGTCTTAAAATTCAATGCAATGCAATAACCTTTTATGTATTGTTGGGGAGGAGAATAGGGAATATATAGATGCACTGATAATTACTAGGCATTTGATATATGATCTGTGATAGAGATAAGGGCAGGAAACTAAAGGGTACAGAGGAAGCTACATGGTCCAGCCTGATGTGAAACAATGGATGTGTGGTTGGATAACATTTACATATTTTCAAAGTGTGATTATATATTTCATCCCTTCCTGGTCTCCCTGTAGTCATGGAGAAGTATAGATAGCATTTGCATTATTTGTTCCTATGATATATATAGAGAAACTGAGGCAAATGGGGGTGGTCCGGGACATAGATCTGGTTTCAGTGACTGTCTTAGCCTGTTTTGTGCTGATATAACAGAATGCCAGAGGCTGGGTAACTTATAAAGAAAATAAATTTATTTCTCACAGTTCTGAAGGCTGGGAAGTCCAATATCAAGTTGCTGGCATCTGGGGAGTGTCTTTTTCTGTGTCACCCCATGGCAGAAAGTGAGAGGGTGAGAAAGAGGAGTTGGGAAATCATGGGAAATCAAACTTGTCCTTTTATAATGAACTCATTCCTGTGACAATGGCATTAATCCATTAATGAGGGTAAAGCCTGCATGGCCTAACCACCTCTCATTAGGCCTCACCCCCTAACACTATTGCATTGGGGATTCCGGTTTCCAATAATGCTTTCTTGGGGACACATTCGAATCATAGCAATGGCAGATAAAAACTCATGGCCTAGAGCTCATGACCGTCAGTTTAGGGATCTTCTGAACCAAACTGTCATTCACCCTTATGTTGGACAGCAGTATGAGCATGCTTGCAATTTCACAATGTCACAGAAGGTGGGGGACCTTCTATAATATGTCCCCTATGAATTTTTGTGATGGAACATCAGAATATAATAAATTAGTGATACAGAAGTGCTGGGAAGTGAAGGGTGTGGTCCCTTTAAATGATAGGGAAGGGGACAGGGACATGCTTACATGTGCCCAAGGACCTAGGTGAGGACAGGCATTTTTGTTTTCCTGCCCAAATATTGCATTTCCCAAGACCACCCTGGCCTGCCACGCCCCCATCCTGTGCCTATAAAAACCACAAGACCATAGCAGGTAGACACACAGGTGGCTGGACATCGAGGGGAACACACCAGTGGAAGAACACACGGGCAGCTGGATGGTGAGAGGAACACAGTGACACCAGCAGGTCACCAACTGGCAGAATGACATGGAGTTTGACTGGAGCAGTCGGAGGAGAGCCTAGGCCATCAAGCAGCCCGACTCCAGGGGAAAACCATCTCCCTTTTGGCTCCTCCACCTGCTGAGAGCTACTTCCACTCCATAAAACCTTGTAATCATTCTCCAAGCCCATGTGTGATCTGATTCTTCTGGTACAGCAAGGCAAGAACCCCAGGATACAGAAAGCCCTCTGTCCTTGCAATATGGCAGGGGTTTAATTGAGCTAACACAACAACCCATGGACGGCTAAACTAAAAGAACACCTTATCACACATGCTGACTGGGACTTTGACTGTAAACAGTCACTGCAGACACTGCTGTGGGGTCAGAGCTCCACAGCCTGCCTATCTGTATGCTTCCCTAGAGGTTTGTGCAGCGGGGATTGAAGAAGTGAGTCACACCCCCATTGCATGCCCTGTGAAGGGGACAAGGGAACTTTTCCCCGTTTCATTAGGAGTTGGCAAACTAAGGCTCGTGGGCCACATTGTCCATTGCCTGCTTGTGTAAGTAAAGTTTTATTGAAACATAGTCATACCTACTCATTTACTATTGTCTATGGCTGCTTTTACATTACAAAGTTGAGTAGTTGCAAGGGAGACTGTATTGCCCACAAAGTCTAAAATATTCACTATCGGTCCTTCACAGAAAAAGTGTGTCACTCCCTGGAATAAATGAATCAAATGGAAGTAAATGGGGGGGGGGGGGGAAGGATTCATTCATTCATAATAGGCAGTGTATCACAACTGAAAAACATAGTGAAAACTGGTTTCAGACAAACCCAGGTCAGAATCTCACCTTCGCCACTTGGCTGAAAAACTTTGAACAAATTATTTTTACTCTTTGGGCCTGTTTCTGCATCTATCACCTTGTAATGTTGCTGTTTGATAATTCTATGATACAATGTAATGTATCTGTTACAGTGTAATTTATCTGTTATTAGGTTTGACCCCATATAATAGAAAACACAAAATAAAAGCGACTTACACAGGATAGCAACTTTTTCTCTCATGTGGAGGTCTGAAGGACAGTGGGTGTTGATTGGTCCGGTGCCTCCTGCACTAGGAACCCACGCCTCTTTCACTTTGTTGCTTTGCTGTGTATGGGTTTCATTCCCGAGGTCCTTTCATGGTTCAACATGGCTGCTGGAGCAAATAAAAAATCAAATACACAAAAGTCTAGAGAAAGAGCCATCCATAGAGGCCAGGCAGCAAATCCACTTATTCAAGTCTAGCCAAGATGAGACCCCCTTGCCACAGTGCATGAAACCAGCATATTTCACTTATTCCATTGTTGGGGTATGTTGAAGCAGATCTGGAAGCAATGTCTTCTGTGTATTAAGCATCTAACACTTTACAAAGCATTTTCATATGTCTTACCACACTTATTCTTCATAATGCTCTGCAAAGGTAAGATGAATAGATCTTAATGTCATTATTCCTATTGAACCCTTGATTCACACAGCTGCTGAGTAACAGATTCCAATGAGTCTACAGCTAGGTCTTTGGATATGTTGCTGGTAATGAAAAGGTGAACAATCATGGTGCAGAAGAAAGAAAATGAGCCAAACCAGGATACCTGGTAGAGTTGCAGTGCAAAGACTGGGGCTAATTGTGTGGCCTCAGCCTCACTGGGCTGTTCTCACCTGTAAGACCAAGATAAGAGCACTCATTTACTTCTGGGGTTGTGAAGATAGCAGACAATCTTACTGCACCTGACACTTAAGATCAGTTCAGTGAAATTATTATCTTTCACAGGTGTGTCTTTGGAAAATCACTTCCCCTTCCTGGATCTCAGTTTCCTTTTGTAGGAAAACGACATGTTTGGACTCAGCGACTGCTAAACTGTCTCCCCAGTCTCGAGCTCCCTCAGCCTGGGATCCTGCCTTTTATGAAAATAGCTCGGATTGGAGCTCAGGTTGGAATTCTCCCTTTGGCTGCTTCCTAGCTGTGTGTCCTAGTAAGAGCTAAAAATTTCGGATTCCCCACATCTGTAGAACAGGGATACATAACATGTAGATTATTAGAAAGGGAAGGCATGTGAGAATTAAGTGAGTTGGGTGTCCAGTACCCAGTAAATTGTGAAACTTCTCAAAGGCAGGGACTCATTTGTTTTGCATATTTACAGAATGTCATACGTTGAAGTACGGGGCTTGGCCACGGGGTTAGAACATTTCTGTAAAGAGTAAGGAACCAGACACAAAGCAAGCAATCAAGAATTGTAACCATGCAATATTCTTATTATTGCTTACACTTGCCTACAATAGTCCTGGTGTTTAGTAAACTAACACAGACACCCATCCGGGGCTGCGGAGAGACCGCCTGGGTGAGCTCCGCAAGGTGAGTCCCCAGAGCCGGGAACTCGCAGCCTGAGCAGTCGCAGCCTAGCCGGTTTTGGGTCCGCGCTCCTCCCGCCCTGCACAGCTCTGCCCGCGGAGGTGCCGGCCAATCCCACGACCGGTTCAAAAGACCAATCAGGCCGCGCTTTACAGGGGCCGCGCCTGCCGCGGCGGGTCCGTGCGCGAGGCGGTGCTGCAGCCGCCCCCGGGACCGCCCTGCCCAGGCGCCGTGGGGCTCGGCGCGGCTACGTGCAGAATCTCTCTAGCTAAAATGTAATTTCAGATTGGACAAGTACTGTAAGTGACCCGCCTCTCAGTCCCACGTGGGCGCCGGGGGCTTTTGCTGGCGCGCAGGCTCTCAGCGCGCACGCCCAGAAAGAGGCTTCTCCAACCCGGCCCTTCCCTCCCTTTTGCCGCAGTCGTTGCCTCCTCTTGCCCTTTTTCCTCCTCCCCTTTCTCCTCCTCTGGCCGCTTAGTCTCACACCCGCCGGGCCGTTGCTCCCAAGACGTTGTTGAGTCCCCTGTGTCCTCTTCTGGGTGAGGCGTCCGGCCACTCAAGGGAAGGGAAGGGAAGGGTCGGCCTTGACTGTATCCAAGGCTGCCCGTTAGGTGTCTGGAACCCGTGCTGCTTCCTCTCCGATCAGTGCCCATTTGACTATATTCCGTTCTCTTTCTCTCCTCCGCTTACCCTTGTAGGACATTTTCGCGGCATTTGAGGAGCCCTTAATTCACGTCTGGCTACCGAAGGCATTTTTAGACTAGTGTTGCTTGTAGCTTTAAACGCTTCCAGCACTTGTGATAATGTTTGAGGCACAGCTGAGTTTAGATGAGATAATGCTGTTTGTTTACAGTTGTCCTGAGTAGGAAGGCCTAGGGATATCTTTCCATTTTTATCCGTTTCCTTTTTATTTGAAGATTGACAAGGGGCCGGGCGCGGTGGCTCACGCCAGTAATCCCAGCACTTTGGGAGGCCCAGACGGGCGGATCACGAGATCAGGAGAATCGAGACCATCCTGGCTAACACGGTGAAACCCCGTCTCTGCTAAAAATACAAAAAATTAGCTGGGCGTGGTGGTGGGCGCCTTTAGTCCCAGCTACTCGGGAGGCTGAGGCTGGAGAATGGTGTGAACCCAGGAGGCTGAGCTTGCAGTGAACTGAGATCGCGCCACTGCACTCCAGCCTGGGGGACAGAGCGAGACTCCGCCTCAAAAAAAAAAAAAAAAAAAGATTGACAAGGTGCAAAATGGTGAATTTCCCTCATCTTGGGCTGTTTTCCACTAAAGCACTTCTGTGTCTTAACACAAATTTCTTCCCTGAAGAGTCAGTCATGACGTGACCAAAGTCTGAAAAGCAGTTATCCTTAGGTTAAATTTTAAAGTATGAGACCAGGAGGGGTGAGGTGCTTATTCTTTTGAATTGTAAATCATAAAGAAGGGAGAGTCTTTTATGTTGTGGCTGTTATTTAAATGGTAGAGTTTTGCTTTGTATAGTTTTTGCTTGTTTTTCCTCTTTTTCTGTGATCCACCACGTGTATGTCCTGATTTTTTTCCTTTTTAACTTGCTTGCTGGATTTTCCAGCCAGATGACTGCCGCTTGGTCTTCTGGGAGTCTCCTGTTAATGGGGCCCTCATGCTTGGCTCTTGACCTGATGGCCACTGGCCTGGCTCTTGGAGGACCTCCTAGTGGGAGGCCCAGAGCACTGTTATTAAGGATGATTTGGGGAACAGATCAGAGGGGGTCAGCTGGGCCTGGAGATCGATTTTGAGGGGGAGGGAGGTTGGGAGCCTGCCTGGCTGGATTTGGAAGTCAAAACATGTGTGCTGGGAGAAGGGCATAACCCCAGAGGGTGGAGAACTGTGTCTTTCTGGATGAAATTAAGAAGTTTACTGGGAGGAGGCTGGGCCTTCCAGGCGGTGTTAGTTTTTGCTGTGGGCCTTGTCTTTTCCTGGAATTGGGTTCCCTTTCCCTAATCTTTCACTTATTAGTTTAAATAGTTCCCTTTACCTAACCTTTCACTTATTGATTTAAATAGTTTAAATCACAGTCAATTACCAGCTGGTTTTTAAAACAATTTGAGGTAATGAATCTTGCCCTTAATCTCCTAGCCAGAGTGGAACCCCCCTACCCCCACCCCAAAGGGGATTTGAAATGATTCTTTTACCAGAATGTGCTACAGAGATCACTTACTCTCTCACTCGCCCACCTTTTTATAATGGAGGGACATAGAATCAACCCAAGTGGTGTAAGAGATCATCCAAATCAGTTCTTCATGTATTCATTTGTTCACTCATCTTGTCCACATACTTTGGGCCCAGAACGGTGGTATCTCTGGGAAAGAGCAGATGAGTAAGACTTGGTCTCTGCTTTTAAGCTTTCATCCATTTTGCTTCAATCCACTTTTATGAGGGAGATTATGTGATAGTGAGATGAGTACAGTGAAAAGTATGCAGAAGACTCCCAGGAGTTGAGAGAAGGGCAAATGGCTCAACATGGGGAAGCCAATTGAGGAGGACTTCCCGGAAGGGACTACTAGAGCTGAGTTCCAAAGCCTAAGTATCAGTGGGCTGGAGAAAGGGTAAGGGAGTATATGAACCAGGAACAGTATGTGCAGAACTACAGAAGCATGGCACATGGTTGATTAGTATGGCTGCGCAGGAAAGGCTGAGGTGGAAAGTCACCCGACAGGAGGTTGGGGAGGGTGAAGGCCAGATCAGGAAGGGTCTGGTGAATCATCTTAGGTGAGTTTGAAATATATCTCCAGGGCAAACAGTGATGCTCTCAGGTTTATGTTATAGAAAATTAATTCTGGCTGCAGTTTGGAGAATGAATTGGATTGGTGAAGCCTGGATAGAGATAATTGTAGTAATATAGGTGAGAGAGGTGTTAGGGTGTATAGTTATGGGAATGGAGAGAGATTAGGAAAATAGAATGGTTAGGAATGTTATAAAGTTTTGGTGCCACAAAAGAAATAGCACTTGAATATCAAATTTTCTTTTCTTCTTCTCAGCAAGGCAATTTACTTCTATAGAAGGATATGCCCTCACAGATGGAGCAATGGTGAGCGCACACCTGGATAAGGGAGGGGAAGGGGGTCTTATTCCTGATGCACGTGGCCCCTGCTGCTGTGTTGTTCACCTGTTGGCTAGGGTTAGACTGCACAGGCTAAACTAATTCCAGTTGGCTAATTTAAAGAGAGTGACAGGGTGAGTGGTTTGGCGAGAAAAATGATTATGGCAGAGCAGGAAATCGGAATGAGTCAGGGTGGAGAATGAGCAGGTAATCGGAATGAATCAGTCTGGGTGGAGCAGGTGATCGAAAAAGGTTGCTTTACGAGGAAGTTAAGTTTAAAAGTAGAAAATAATTGAACATACTGACATACGAATTCTTTGAAGAGAAATTTAGAGCTCATATCTAATGGAAATTAATTACTGATTGAGTGTAGGGATGAGAAGGAATGCAGTCATCAGTAGGTGTTCTTGAGTGGGCTGTTTTGTAGCAGCTTTAGTGAGGAATAATTGACATCCAATAAACTGTACCTATTGAGAGTGCCTAATTGGAGAAGTTTTGTTATATACATATATCTATGAAAACCATCATGACCATCAAAAGAACATACCTGATAACCCCAAAGATTGCTTGTACCCTTTTTAATTCCTCTTTGTATACCCTCTAAGGTAAAGTATATCTTAAATCTTTTGTCCACTTTAAAAAATGAGCCTTTTATTTTCTTTTTATTGAGCTTTGAGAGTTCTTTATTCTTATTGTAATTTCTTTATCACATGTAACTTGCAAATATTTTCTCTTATTTTGATGCTTGTCTCTTAAGAGTGTCTTTTGAAATCAGCATTAATTTTCATGAAGTCTAATTTATAATTTTGGTTAAATAAATGTTACCATTCTGATTTTTTATGGATCATGTTTTTTTTTTGTTTTATCTAAGATATCTTTGCTTAACCTAAGGTTTCAAATATTCCTCCTATTTTTAAAAGAAGTTTTGTCATTTTTGGTTTTATATTAAAGCTGTGATCATTTTAAGATAATTTTTGTATAGGACATGAAATATGGAATCAAGTTTTTTTTTGCATATGGCTATCCAGTGGTTCCAGCACCATTTGCTGAAAAGCCTATCTTCGTTGAATTGCCTTTGCACCTTTGTTCAAAAATCAATTTACCATGTATACATTGGTGCAATTTTGTGTTTTATTTTGTTCAATTGATCTCTTGTCTGTTTTAATGCCAATACCACATAGTCTTGATAAACATAACTTTGTAATAAGTACTGAAATCAGCTAGTATAAGTCCTTTAATTTTGTTCTTTTTAAAATTTGTTTTGATTATTCTAGGTTTTATTTCCATATGAATTTTATAATCACTTTGTCCATTTCAAAATAAAGGCCTGTTTAGATCTTAACTGGAATTATATTGAATGAATATGTTAATCTAGGGGGAGAATTGACATTTGAAATACCAAGTCTTCTGACTCGTGGACACATTATATCTGTTCATTTATTTAAGTCTTCCTTATTTCTCTAGGCAATATTTTGTAGCTCTCAATACATAGGTCTTACACATCTTTGTTGGATTATCTGTAGGTATTTCCTATTTTTTGATGATATTGTAAATGATATTAAAATTTTAGGTATTTTAAAAATTTAATTTCCGATTGTTTTCTTGCTACTGGTGTATCGATCGTGTATCCTGAAATCTTGCTAACATGCTTATTATTTCTAAGAGCTTTTTTGTAAATGCCATCAGATTTTCTATTTAGGTGATCCTGTCATCTGTAAATAAAGATAGTTTTACTTCCTTTCCAATGAGGTTGCCTTTTATTTTTCTTGCTGTATTCCACTAGCCAGAACCATTGCTTTACATAGAACTGATGAGAGCTGACATGTTGCCTTCTTCCTGATCTGAGGGAGATGCATTCATTTTTTCATCATTAAGTATGATTCATGATGCTAGTTGTATATCTTTTGTAGATATGCTTTATCAGGTTTAGGAAGTTTCATTGTATTCCTGCCTTACTGAGAATTTTTTTAAAGGAATAATGGATGTTGTAATTTTGTTGTTTTTCCTATGACTGCTGTGATCTTTTTTTTGAAACGGAGTTTCACTCTTGTTGCCCAGGATGGAGTGCAATGGCGTGATCTCAGCTCACTGTAACCTCCACTTCCTGGGTTCAAGTGATTCTCTTGCCTTAGCTTCCCGAGCAGCTGGGATTACAGGCATGCGCCACCACACCCAGCCATTTTTTTTTTTTTTTTTTTTAGTAGAGATGGGTTTCTTCATGTTGGTCAGGCTGGTCTTGAACTCCTGACCTTAGGTCATCTGCTCGCCTCGACCTGCCAAAGTGCTGGGATTACAGGCGTGAGCCACTGCGCCTGGCTGATCATTCGTATTTTTAAAAAAGATTCTTAATGTGTTGAATTACATTTATTGATTTTTTTTTCCAGTGTTAAATCTTGTGTTCCTGAGATAAACCCTATTGGTCAGGGCATATTATCCTTTTTTTATATTGTTGAATTTTATTAGCTGAA